GGGTGAAATATAATACATATAGGCAATAGTGGTTTGGCCGGCACATATGTGTTCATCTGGTAAATTTTTTTTTTAGATTATTGAAAAGGTGAATGTTTAAAAGAATCCTCTAATTACATATTAAGTAGATTTAGAGAGTTTGTGGGAGGAAAGTAAGATAGAATTGGAGGGGGCCTCTAAGGCAGTGACAGTTCTACAACTTGGGAAAGATACAAGACTGCTCTTTGAGGCACCGACTATATTATTACCATTTGAATGTTTCTCATAGGTGCTACATATTGAACAGATCTTTATGCTAAAGTCACCAGATTGTACAGTTTTGATGGGTGAATTGTATGGTATATAGAATACATATGGGTATTGAATCCAGGGCCCTGCACATGCCAGGAAATCACTGTAGCGCTCAACCACATCCTCAACACTAGACCCTACATATAAAGAGTTGGTGGAAATAAAGGTTCAATGGGCCTGTGTACATTTGTGGTAGAAGAATCAGGAAAGGCTCAAGGGTTAATAAACAAATGTGATTTCAATTGTAGGGGAATGGGAATAGTGATTTTAGGTCACAGTAAAATGACTGTTTCATTGACCACCATCATTTATCTTTCCTATACTTTTTAGAGAAATTTTTGCTTTTTTCTAAAATAATAATAGATTATAAAAAGCTAATATTAGTCATCATTGTTTCAGGGGTAGGGTCAGGCACTGTAGTCATCACTTGCATCAAGGCTAGCTCATTTAATTACACAACAGAATTATAAGTGGGGGAATAGATTTACAAATTCACAGAAGACACTAGAGCCACTAACATCATCCACAAGGTATTGCGGATAGCAGAGGACAAGTCCAGGATCAAGAGCCAACATTTGAACTAAGCCTTTCTATCCTGAAATCCACTGCCAAATTTAAAGATGTGGCAAAGGATAATACGATCTCAACACTTCCTTAGGGCAAAACAATGGAAAGTCAATTGTTGATGTACTTTGACTGCTGTATCCAAGCAAATGCCACTTCAATCTCAGTGGACCTTGTTGTATTACTATTATCTGGAAAGCTCTCTGGAAAGTTACCATTTTCTGAAATCTTATCACAGTTGATTTATTCCAATTTATAGCCACTTACTTAAAATGTGCAGTCAGGCACTCTCATGTTACCAAGTATTAATACTATGTGTTTACTAGTTGTATTTATTTACTCACAGTATATGTCTGGAAAATGATTAGTTTTGTCAGTTACAGCTATTAAATTCTGGGTATCACATGGCTACATTAAAAAACTATCTCTTTTAGTGTAGAATTTAATGTAGAATTTCTAATTCTAGAAATAAGCTATTACATAGAGAATAACATGGAGACTCAAAGTAGACTGACATTTTTAAATATCTACTCTGTGTCAAAGTTAAAGACATTTTAAATTAGATTTTTTTCTCCCAAAACTAACTTTCAAGACTGTCATTGAGTTGTGATGCATTTTTTCAGAAGAGAAAGACTATCTCAGGTAGTGAAATTTATCCAGTATCAGCAATACTCCCAGCTGGAAAACAACCCAACTCTATCTGAGCTTAGTATCACCTCTATCTGAGCTTAGTGCTATGAAATTCCATCTCTCATGTCAGCAAAGCCTGGCTTTTATATGATTAGCCATGTGTTAGCCAACTTGTCCTTAAGCTTTTTGTGTCTCAGTATCCTCATCTTTAAGATGAAGACAATACTCTCTATTGTTCAGGGAATAAACAGACTACAGAGAGCAAAACAACACTATCATCACAGACATGCATAGGTTTTTTCCTATGTTATGTGAATTACCTATGACAAGAGCCAAAAAAAGAATTTGCCATGATTTCATATAACTTGAGCTGATTTTTCTCATGCCCAAGGCAGTCAGCGGCATAACCATTGCACTAATAAAATCTGAACATGCAGGGTTAATTTTATCTTTTAATATTCTTACTCTGAAAACTGGCAACCAGCATGCAGATATAGGACAACTATTTAGTTAAGCCTGTATTTCTAGATCATGGCAAAAAACAGTATCATGGTGATTAGCGAACTGGTGAAGTAAGTTTGTGCTTAGGGATACACAGATAATGAGAAAAGTACAAGCTATAAGTGTCAGGATTTTTATAATAGGAAACTCTAGAAAGAAACTGTTAATATCTGAACACTCATTAAAGCTTTATTTTAGGATACCGTGTTTTTTATTTTTCCTAATTTTTTCTTAAATATGGTGGGAAAGCCTGCAAAGACATCTAACTCTGTCTTTAAGCCTCTATATGAACAGGGTTCTAGAATACTGTTCAAACGTTGTTGCCTTACAAAATATACTTAAAGTACGAAACACTTTAAAAATGACAATACTCAGAATACAATGTTCTTCTCACCTTACCTTTCTGAGAAAATTGCTTTTCCTTCTGGTTACTTTATTGTAGCAACCTAAATGACAATGCCTCAGTCAACAGTTAAGAATTATTTATCTCATAAATACGCTACTTTTCATAAGTCTATGTAGGTAGTTAGTAGCTTGTTAGAACAATTTATATCATATGAAAGTGATCCTGGCTTTTAATGATATAAAACAAATTTACCTGCAGTGTAACATATTTTACCAAATGTTAAGAAAATAAAACCACAGCATAATACCAAGTTTTGGGAAGAACATTTTATTGCTAAGCATATCCTTGAACTAAAATGCAAATATGAAACAAGAGAAAAGGAAAATGAAAAAGCAGTAACATCACAACATCGTAAAATTAATTCCTCTAAGATCTGTTAATAAAACAACAAGAATATGATAAAAGCTCACATACAGAATGCACATGTTCCCATAAAATTGTCCAGATAGAAACTTACACTAAAAGGAATATAACAAATGTATATTTTTACTGAAATTAAAAAATGTAAGGAAAGAAAGCAGGAAATCAGTTCACAAGACCTTAAGACTCCAAGAACAGTAATCTTTTACAGACATCAAGATATAATCAACTTCGTATAGGCTGGGCCATTTATCTAAAATCGTGCTTTGATATCTTTTTATAGTCCTGTCTTTTTTAATGACAAAAAAAACTTGTAACACATTGAATATCAGATAAGGAGGAACACCTCTTTCCATACACATTTGTAAAGGCTACCGCTGTTTAGTTTGCACTTTTTGCCCCATGTCTTTAAGATATTTTTTTCAAAGTCAAATATTCATGCAACTTACAAAAACCAGCAAGAGTAGATTTCTAGATCTAAACAGCTGATTGGTTTTCATCTGTACAAAAGAAATTGTTATATATCTGACTGTCCCAAAAACACACTCCATTTTTCTGTGAATATTTGTCTTTGTCTCTTGCCTTTTGAATAGGTATGGCCAAAGATCCAGCTCATTATTTTTCTGTACATTGTTTCCTCTTTACAAAAAGAAAATAAGGAGACAACCAGAATATAATCCAAAGAAACTAAAATAAACAAGTAGGAAGCAACAGTGCTCAAAGCAGTATGTACATAGACGGCTAAGGGATTATACCAGCAAAAATGTAGTAAAATATGTAAACAAAATCTGAGATTTTTTAAAATTCTCTTTGACACAGTTAACTGTGACAAAACTAAAACTCACACTTTCTTCACATTTTAAGGTTTACTTTTTTGTTTTGTTATTTTCTCTTAAAATAACATTCTCATTCCACTTCAAGACTTTAACAGATTTCTGTGTCAGTCATCCCATCAAACATACCATGATAAATATATCTATATATATATTTATTTATATATATATTATACTATTAAATTCCTTTTTGTGTGTCACAGCAGCTCTATTCATTTATTTAGTTTTTTAAAAGATGGGCGAAGGGAGACATGAGCACGTGGAAGGACAGTTATCCGTGTCAGGTTACAAAATTAAACCACTATGAAAACCATTACCATGGGGGGCGGGCAGAGAAAGAACTATGAAGTCTGCATTCTGTCATGACAGGTTGGCTTGTGCGACCTTCTGTGGTTCCATCACAAGCTGAACTCCCCTACTGTCTGTTTTGATCATTCAATAGACTCTAGCATCGTCATTTCCTTTTGATTTGCATGCTTTTCAATCAGAGGTCCAGCCTACCCCCCCTTCCCTTCCCTGAAGAAAGGTTCTGTTTTCATTTGTGGGGCTTTCCCCTTCAACACAATTTGGGTTAATGGACAGGAACAATATTGTTAAGTAAGCCAATAGCTCTGATCAAACCAGCTCTAAGCCCATCTGTGTGGGGCTTGGCTGGGGAATTCTGGAATTAGATCCTGGGGGACCAGCTTTTCAGATCAATGTTTTTGTCTGTCACATGGGTTCTGCTATGTGATGAGCACAGCAGCTTACAGGAAACAAACAACAGATTTTAGAGACACCACGACCTGATGTGTAGAGTGAACACCATGAATAGCTTTTGAGTTCATATGGCAATAGTCTCTCCTACATTTTGTTTGCTGATTTTTAATTTTTTCTTTTTGTTAACTTACATCCAGTCTCAAAAAAATAAACAAACACCCAAAAGCCATTTTTTCCCCTCAGATCTTGAAAAGTTACACACACACTGGCCAGAGCCAGATAAGGGTGGGTATTTTTTTTGTTTGTTTGTTTTATTTTTTTAAACTTTTTTTCTTTTTTATGCTTTTGCTTTTTACATAATGAAACTGAGGGGGAAAAAAAACATTGTTACAGTCAAGCTGCACAGACATGATTACAGACTCACTTGGAGTTTATGGAACAAGTAAGCCACGAAGTCTTCTACCTTTTCTCAAAGGTCCTCGAGATAAGGGAGCTTGAAGTCCACGGACTCGAATTGTCGCGGGCTCTCTCCAGGGCTCTAGTGTGTGCTTTATGGTACAGCAGGGCAGAAAAGAGGTTTCTGTCTCCGAGCGACGGCTGCACAGGGCAGCCACGGCCGCAATTTATAGATACGTACATCTGTGTGAGTGTCCTCTTAAAAACGGTTTTCCCCACCAGAGTCAGGTATACCCCGTCTCACCGTTAGCACGGTCGGACATCTGTGAAATCTCATTGCCAAAGCATCCGTGTATGCATACAGAAAGAGCGCTGTCTCAGGGCGCGCGCTTTCAGCGTGGCCAGCTCTACACGTAGTACTCCTTGTCCTTGTTCTTCTGTTTCTTGTGGCCGCTCTTGGAGCTGGGCTGCTTCTCCTTGAGCAGCGTGCCGTTGCTCTGGGCCGAGTTGCTGATGTAGTTCCGCGTCTCGTCCACTTGATAGGACCCCTCGTCTCTGTTCCTGTACTTGTACATGGCGTACAGGAGGATCAAGATGCAGAGGGCGGCAGCAGCCACAATACCGACGACCATCCCTGTTGTACTGCTCGACTCCCGGATCACCTCTGAGGCCCCCGGAACCCGTCTGATTCCCGGCTCCGTGGGGTTTGCTGTGGGCACATTACGGAACATGGGGGAAGTAATTAGTGGGCTCTTCAGTTTGGTGCTGTCTAGCTCATAGGCAGTGGGCAACGGAAGCAAGACTATATCAGGCTGGGGTTTGAGATCACGGTTATTCATTTTGCCAGCTGGCAATTTGGGCACCATCCCAGACGAGGAGGAAGCTGTGTAGCGGATCAGCTCAGGGGACAAAGATGTGGTAGTAGTCCTACTAGTTTCGGAGACTTTGTTAGGTCTAAAGTCCTTGGATTCCCACTTGGGCGCATGTGCTTTGTAGCCACCTTCGAAGATTGAAGTGGAAAGACTCTTATCTGTTACCAAGGAGAAGGTGGTGTAAAAATCTTCATCATCAGTAGGGGGCAGGTTAGAGTCAAAGGTTTCCCCTGAGCCATACCCAGATATCACCAAGCCATCATCATCACAACCATCGCTGCCTTGGTCCGACAAGCAAGGTAACCCCGCCTCAGAGGTCATGGACAGGGAATCTTTGGTGGTCTCAATAATGGTGAGGAGGGGGCGGAAGGTAGGGGGGAGTGTAATGGAAGGTGCACGAGTAGCAATAGGAGGGGTAGCTAAAGGGTCTTCTACAAGAAGAGGGATAACTAATTCACCTCCTGGGATTGAAAAAAAAAAAGAGAAACAGAATTAGAATCTGTGCAGACACAATTTTTAACACAATTAAACAAATACAGTTTGTGAGTTTTGCCTCTGAAATTACAATACAGAGACCTGGGTCCACATACGGGTCACTGCTGGGCCTAGTCTCATCATTCTAGATGATTTAGGGTCCATTTTATGCCTCTGCCCACCCAAACCTGAAATCTGCAGATGGGGGTTTAGATATCAAGATACTCTCAAGGAATTATTTAGAATTCAAATACTGACCACCAGTTCCAGGATCTGTTTATGAGATGATGACTCTATCCAATGTATTGTTACAAATGCTGACTGGCTGTCACAAGTGTGTGTGAGGGAATGTGTGCACACACAATAGGTGCTTCACCTAGGGATTTATTAATGTACTTATGACATTTCTCTACCTTCTTGGGTTTTTACTTATTTGTTCTCATGAGGATCAAAATGACATATTCTCCATACTACTGAGACCAAGCTCAAGGTACCTAAGAGACCTTGCCTTGATTATTTTCTTAAGTAATTTCTTTTTTATTTCACACTTCTTTTTAATCAGAAAAAAATAACACATACAAAATTTATTATATGTCTAAGTTATGAGAATATTAATTTCTTGAACTTCTTAGTTGCAGTCCTGTTTGGTTTTAAGCTAAATGATAGGGTTTTCACAAAAAAGTGATAGGGACTTACAAAATGTTAAAAGTGTTCATCTGTCCAATTCATTTTGATTATGCCTTTCTAGAATTTTCCTGATTATTAAATGACATCTTGCCTTGCATTAGTCTAATATATGTTGCTAGACTAGTTTTATGCGATGTGTAATATTTGCTAAGCTGGAAGCTAGGTTTCAAAAATACCCACCTTATATACCCACAGTTTGCTGGAAACTTACTATTGGATTTGGGAATGTTGACTCAGCAAAATGAGTTTTCAAATCAGTGATTCTTTATTAAACTGGCAGAAGCATATTGGTTTACTCACAGGCCCTCATTATTATACTTGTAGACACATAGACTAAATCAGGAAAGAAAATGAAGAATGGTTCATTAAGTCACAGTGCCTTGCGAGTCATGGGTACCCAGAATATTCTGTAAGGGTGTCACTAAGTCCATTGTAAAGCCAAGATGATTCGCCTCTGTCCACAAGATCAACAAGGTCTCTTTGGCCTCTCTTTACAATGTTGTTTTCCAAGCAGAGAGAATCTCAGGAAGTTACACTTCATATCCTTTCATTGAATTTATTCGAGAAAACTATTCCAACTACAACTTAAAAAAAAAAAAAGAAACTAGCGGGAATAGTACATTTTTCTCCCTAAGTAGGAAGTTGAGCTGTGAGTATGATATTACTGAAGGCTGCTTTCTAAGCAGGTCACCAAGCTCTTACCTGGTGTTGTGCTTTTGTGTATCCTGTCCCCGCTAATGAATAACTTTCCTGAGACAGAATGTCCAGAGCATCAGTTACCAGACTTGACCACTTCTGAGTTGTCCTCCTTTGTCCGCAGTGAAGCAGATGGTTTGCAGTGATTCCGTCCTGCACAATTCTAGGGTCACAGCTGGGGGACAGGGCTCGCATGGTCTTCCAGGGTTTTTAGGAAGACTGACTCACAAATTAGAACTCGCCCACGCAGCGTTATACATCTTGCATCATGAAACATTTTCTGTGCCTCAGTTAGAACTAAAACTGCTGCATTGTGATTGTCTAGGCTTCAGGTGTGCCAAGAGGAGAAAGCAACTGCAGGCTTTCAAAGCACAGGGGATCTGCTTCCCCATAGTTACTCCTTCCCTGTCTAGTCCATGACACTGTTACGCCAAGAGAAATTGAACTGGAAGGAAATTATTATTATTATTATTATTATTATTATTATTATTTATTATTATTGTTTGGTTCCAGAGATTGAACTCAGGACCTTGTGCTTGTGAGGCAGATGCAATGCCACTGAGCCATATTATTATTATTATTATTATTATTATTATTATTATTATTATTATTATTAAAATTTTTAGTAATCATTAGGAAGAGAAAGAACAACAGAATGTTTGACTGGCATCTCTGACCCATGTGATTATTTCACTTTATGTGGGGAAATAAATCAAGGACCTACTTGAGAATCTCAAGATGGTCCTGTGGCCTGTGCTCTAAATCCCAGCTTCTATTCTAGTGCTTAGAGTTTGAAACTGGTGAGTAAAATGATCTTTAAATATTTGCCAGAGAATCAGACTTGCTTTACTAGACCAACATGCCTATTTTTTATGTTGTGAACATATATAATTCATATACCTTGGGACTTTAGTTAATACATAATTTACACACTTTTGCTAGTTTTTATAAAAGGGAGCACAGTTCCCTAAAGGTAAAACAGTCCTAAACCTAACCCTGAACAAATTTTTTCAGGGGAGGGCACCAAGTAGTACCTTTCAAGTGAAATATGGAAGAGTGCAGGGTTTAAGTAACATGTGAGAGATAAGTAAAAGCCAATGCAATTTGTCTAGAGGTTCTCTAGTGGTTTCTTAGGAATGATTTTACTTCCTGTCAGAAAACAAGGCAGGACTGTTTTTATTCCTCGGTTAAGTACAACAAATGTTTAGCGTGTGAATTCCTTCCTGCCATAAATACCAAGAGTTACTTGTTTCTTACGGCAGGGACAGATATACCCCAAGTAGAGTAACAAAGAAGAAACTGGAGTAAAGGATCAGGAATACTAGATTTAATGAGAGGCAAAGACCTGGTGTGCACAATTCAGATAAAGATGCAGACTGCCAGGTAGGAAGCTAATGTCCCTTTAAGTGAAATTCAGATCACTGTCCTTGTGACTACAGAGTGACATTCATTTTCAATTTTAATGTGCCATCTGTAACACCCAAATGGAGTCTTAAGTTCCTCTGCTTCTTTTCTGCTTGTTTGATTTCTCTCTTTTCAATCCTACCTAAAGTTTCACAGTGTCTTTGTTGTTTGTTACCAAGTGCAAACTGCTCATTCTGCAGCTGAATGAGCTGCACATTTAGCACCCCAAGGAAGCACATTTTGTGGGCCTGAAAACAGAGCCTAGACCACCCTTCACATGCCGGTATAGAGCAGGTAGAAGGTTTGGAAGGTGTCTGATGTAGACAGCTTCTGAAAGGTTGATTACCCTCAAAGTGAAATCATGAGTTTATCTTAAAACTAAGATAATAGGCACGTTATTCTAAGTTTAGATAATAACGTCTGTCAAAACTACTGATCCACCATTGCCTCTGCCATTTTATTATTGATCTTGGTAGTGGTTATAAAAATGATAAATTATGTTCTCCATCGAGAAAATGTGAGCCCAAATTCTGCAGGTCTTTAATCATTGAAATTGTACAAACTTTTTCTTCTTGGCATCTCAAGGAATTGGAAGAGTTCCTCTAATTTAAAATGAAATTGCCTGAAATGCAGAGGTCATTATTACAAATATGAGTTATAGAAAAATAGATGAAAAAATTTTAGATAACTAAAAATATAAGAACTGTCTGGGACAGTTGTATGAGTTGGGATGTACAATCCATTTTAACATCACATGTTATCTTTAAGATTTAAGGTGATTATAGTGTACCATTAGCCCTCTGTATATGTGGATTCCAGCTCCAAAGATTCAAGCAACTGAGGATAGAAAACTTGTGTTCGGACTGAATATGCACAGTATTTTTTTCTTGTTGTTATTCCCTGGACAATACAGTTTAACAACTATTTGCACAGCATTTATCTTGTGTTAGGTATTATAATTAATCTAGAGAAGATTTAAAACAAAATACTGCATGCAAATACTAAGCCTTTGTACTTCTCCCCTCACCAGTTGTTGCTCTGAGCAGGGATCTCACTATGTTGCCCAGGCTTCAAAATTCTGGAGTTGAGGAATTCTTCTGTCTCAACCTCCTCAGTAGCTGGGACAACCGTATGTAGCACCACACCTGGTTTACTTCATCATTTTATATAAGGGCCAGCACAGGGGGATAGGGTAGGGGTCGGACCAACCCTTCTTGATGGCTTTACTGGGGATCCAAAGGTACATACACATTATTTGAAATAGGGGGTTGGAGATACATTTCCCACTTTTTTTTTTTTTTTTTTTTTTTTTTTTGAGACAGGGTCTCACTATGTAGTTGAGACTGACCTGGAACTCACTATGTAGTCCAGGCTGGCCTTGAACTCATAGCGATCCTCCTTGCCTCAGCCTCCCAAGTCTGGGATTACCCGGCACATTTCCCACTATTAGATGCTTGATAGAAATGACTCGGTTTGTACCATTTAAAATTTTGGGTTTATTTGTATAACTCAGAGTTACTGCCCTCAGAAATGTTGGAGCAGCCAATAATCATTTTTCACTGCCCAAAGATGGTGGAGTTGGTGACCAAACCTGTGTCTACGATTGCAATAGCATTCACAAACTCAGTAAAGCTAAAGTCACAAAAGGTTGGGTAGAATGATGCAAAATCTGGAATCCATCAAAATCCTAATTTCCTTTGCCATCCCCAGTATTTTTCTTTGGTCTGGATAACAGCTATCTATATTCCTTAAAGTTAGCATTTGAAAATCAGGGATATATACACTTTTTTTGACAAGGTTGTGCTTTTCTTTAAACCAGAGAGATCACTAGGGATATAAAAGGTCTATTTTAGCCCTGGAGGCTGCCCTGCTTTTTTTGCTTTATGAGTGTATTTATAGATATATAATTCATGCCTCTAGGGCTGATATCTAGCAAAAGGGGCTCTCTGCCATGAAAAAGACAGTGTTTTAAAAATTTAATAGAACTCTTCTGAACTGTGAATCTCTGGTGAATGATGGCGAGAGTAGTGGGTCACCTAAAAAAATAAGACCAGCATAAAGTTTCTGTGTGGCTCCAGACATAGAGTGTCTGGAGACCCTGGCATCTTAGAGGTCACAAAATTCGAAAACAGTGATGCTTGAACAGCAGGGCTCCGGAGAGGACACCATGCTCCAATTCCTTAAATTTCCGTTCTATCAG